TTTCTTTCACAATTAACTCACATTGCTTCATTATGTGTGGGGTGAATCTCGAATGGCCAAAACTATAAGGCAGCCAAGGTGGTAGGTGAATTGATGAAGTAGATTATTTTTTCTTATCTGTCTGTCTGGATTTGCTCAACATTTAGGACCCCTCTTTTTTATGTTCATATGAATCAAGAATTACAGCTGAATTAAAATAGAAGAGTTTCTCAAGACTGAAATCTCTGAGAAGGGTAAAACAGAGATTCGTTGCAAAACTTTAAACTTAGGAGTGCATGACTGTAGACCAAGGTTAAATTAAGTAAAACTGAATAGTTTGTTTCTACAAAACTCAAACATCAGATTTATACTAATAAAAAAGGAATATATGGCCATATTTGATCATTAAAATAAAGCATAGTAAGAGGAAGCCTGTTTTAGTAACAAATGAATTTGAGATATTTTCCAGAGGACAAAGAAGTGTATCAAGATATTTTACAAGAAAACATTATAGAAAGGCAGTAGTTATGTAGTATTTTTTGGAGACAGTATTATAGCTAGCACTGAAATCCTGGCAATCTCTATATTCTTCAGTTTCCTTTCATGGCTGGCCTGGACTTGTCCTACTTGCCTTTAGGAACACAGGCTGGGGAATGACTACCTCGGCTCAGCTATTGTTCCTTAAATGGCTGTCACAGAATCCTGAATGTCTGTGTCCGTGTTGTCTGGTGAAAGAAAAAAATAGAATGGCTGCAAACCAAATGCAGTGAAAAATGTTGCTTGTGTTTGGCCCAGACCAGCTGCTGTTCTCAGATAAAATCTGGTTTGAACAAAACCGTGTGATTTTTTTTTCTTTTTTTTTTTTTTTTTGAAATTGCAGTACAATAGATGCAGTGAATGTAGCATTTACAAATATTTTAAAGATATGCATCACATTTGGACTTGACTCAGTGATTTAGTTCATATGCCGAGGTACAGATTCATCTTTGTTCAGATATTGTAGAAGCAACAGCTTGTCCTGTGCTTGTTTATTTGTTAATTTAGAACATCTCAGTTCTCCGTGCACGCGAAGCGGCCTGCACACTTCTTTGTGCTTCCAGCTCTGGCACTGGCGTTTTCAGATATCAGCCCTCTTCACCCTCTTGCCGTGACTTGTCTTTGGATGCTTCCTGTGATGGCTCCAGACTAAATACACCAGATCACTGTCTCCTCGCGAGGGCTTATCATATTTGCAGTGTTGTTCTGCTCATAGTTGAAGGGAACTTGCAGTCCCTTTTCGACTGTTTACAAGACGTTAGGTTAATGATTATTTGGAAACAAAGATACATCATTGTATTGAGAACAGGGGACATTTGCAGCAACGGAAGAATTTTAAACGCTTTGATGGTAAGAGGTCATATTATTTTGCTACTAAGATATGTGGTTATGTTTTAATTGGCTGTGTTTACAATGTGGTTTTTCTTAAAAATGCATTTTTTCAAGATTCCCTCAATCTTCGCTTATCTCACATCCACAAATATCCATGCTTCCTGTGTATAATATGTACATTTGCTCTGTTTCAAACATACTCACACTCAAAGTTTATTTCACATGGGACATCAGGAAAACAAAGTCACATTAGTCTGACTTATTTTTCTGAGCTGAAGTTTCATTAAAATAAGTTCATAGTAAGTTCAGCTCTCTAGTCTTACCCTTCAGTGTAAATTTGTTTCTGTTATTTATTATAACATAAGAGTTTGGATGTTATTTAGGGTTAATAGCATTTTGCATAACTTTAACCTTTTTGAACTATTTTTGAACTAATAAGAAAACCTTTGCAATCTTCAAAAACATGTTTAAGAATTCATGAAGTGTAGTAAACTTTAATACATATTTATACTTAAAGTATGTTTGGTTTTGGTTAGCAATCTGCTAACACAATAGAAAATGTAGTTTCTTGCCTAAAGTCTCTAACAAGAGAGCTTTCTGTATTTCAGTATTTGCATGGGAGAACACTGGTTTCAAACAAATTAAGACCTATGTAGTTTTAAGGGGGGTAAGTTTATCTAGTAAGTATTAAATTATTTTGACATTTTGAGACCTGGAATATTAGTGTGAATCTAAGTTGTCACAGCATGTATGAAAGATGATTGGCCCATTTCTCTGGGAAATTATTCTCTTTAGTTTACTTTCTCATTTACATGAATTGATTCCATCAATACTAGTTCAAATTTTTCTTGCTGTGCTTTCCAAGTAGGACCTTTTCAGTAGGACTGCTCATATTAAGAAAATTGAGTCAAAAATTCAGCGAACTGATTATGAAATATAAATATGCAAATGTTTGTTTATTCACAAGGCATATTTTTGTAATGAAAATAAGGAGGAAAGAAGTAATGAAGTGGTTTTGCAATTTTTTCTCTAGAGGAAAGAAGGAGTCATTTAGGAAAGCTAAGTTTGCAACTCAAAGAAAGTTTCCAGCTATGCAATAATATTGTGCAGTGTTTATCAAACTATTATCTAAACATTTTGTTGTTTTGTTTTGTTCATTTGTTTTGATTAATGAAACTATTTAAATTCTGACAACTGTTTGGAAAAAAAAGTATCTTTCACACTAAAACAGGATTTCAGAAAGATAAACTAGCAGGATGATCTGAGAGCAATGAGCTAGTATGCAATACCCAGGAATACCTAATTTATTTTTCTAATGAAGTGGTGAATATTTCAAGCGTATTTTAAAAGTTGGGAAGAAACAATGCATATTTAGGCCCAAATCTTAGTACGTAACTACAAAATGACTGCAAGGATTGCTGTGTTCCTGGGGAGAGATGAGGAGAGAGGGTGTACCCACAGAGCAGGGTTGCAGAGTCTGATTTGATTCTGTGTAGAGTGAGTAAAACAATTCCATGATCCACTGCCTTTTTTTTTTTTCTCAGCAATTTTGACATGATTGGAAAATTAGATAAAATATAGCTGAAAAAATCCTTTATGAATCTGAGCAGATTGAAGCTTTCCTTGATCAACACCAGTCCATTTCACAGAGCTTACCTCAGTAAGCTTTTGAATGATGATATTATGAGAAAGTAATAATTGTTCCACATATGGTAAGCAAAAATGAGGGGACAGAAAATGCCGTCTGGCTTCTTGTATAGGCTACTCACATCCTGAGCCATGATGAAGTAGGAAGAACAGCTTCCATGGTCAGCTTGATCTCATAAAATGCATTTGTACTAGTCTGCTTAGGCTCTTCTTGCAGTCAATGGAGAAGAACAGGCACTTCTATAGAGATTTGTCTCCTCCTGCAGTATTCTCCTGTAATAATTCTGAAGAGTCAGTGCCTTAAACTGGTGTTGATTTCTCTATATTGACTGTAGGTTGAAGCAAAGGCAACCAGCCTAGGAAAGGTTGTCCAAATGCCTTTTTTTTTTCTTTGTTTTTTCTTCTGTAAATACACAAGGAGAAGGATGTGTAGGGACATGATGCATGAGGCTTTTATCCTAGCAGTGCTAGTTCTGGTGAGCACAACTGACGACACAGAGGTGGGGGCATCTGCACCTAAAAAGAATTGCAGAGATTGCTTCCTTTTCAAGTAGTGGGGAGGACGTCTGTTGGAGTGAGCTGGGAGTTATAGTTCTCTGTTCTTCCCTGGGGCAATCAAAGCCTAAAGTTTTACCCTTTGTCGGAGTGGATTTCAATGTTATTTTTCCCAGACTAGGCTCACATAAGAAAATATGGTGCCCTAATAGGAGAATTCTCCTCAGAAACTAGTCTCAGAGCAGTTATGTAATACAGTTCCTGATGAAAATTCTAGGATAAAGTATAACCATTTACTCTATTGAAACGATAGTTAAATAAAAGACTGGGAGAAAGAAAAAGAAATTAAAATACCTCAAAATCTACATGTGGATCTTTATGATGTTCAAAGTCCAAGTGAAAAAGAACAAGTCTGACAAACTCTTCTGTATTCAAATTAGCTGTGCAGAGGTCTGCCTAGAACCAGGAATATGGTCTGCTGCCCTTGTACTGTAGTGAGATCCATCAATACGTGTGCATTAAGGAGGGAGCCCTTAGAAGAGTATATATAGATATCTGTATCTCTGCGCACATGTAGATATTTCTGCTCTTGATGAATTCCGATTAATATCTGGTGCAAAGAAATTGACCTAAATTTCTGTATCATATCAATACCAGTCTAAAATTATTTCGAAAAGTTAAAAAAGAAAAAGAATTTTGAAGTCTCTGTTAATTGTCTTTTGCTGCACTAGCTTTTCTAATCCATTCAGAGATTATCTGTGAAACTTTAATCTTAGAACTCTTCTAGCTGTGGGAGTTTTTCTCGTCGTGATGTCACAACTGATCAGATCTGATGGTTACAGCGATTCCACAGAGGTGTTTAGCACTAATTGTTAAAAGATGTCCGCGCTTAAAAAAAAAAATGAGGCAGGGATTGTAGCTGTGCTGTTAATTTCATTTATTGTTCAGAGCGTGTTCCAGCTGTGGGAATCAGGTATACTTTCTTGATTAAAAAATGCACCCAAGATGAGTATTTTTTTCCCTGTGTTCTAGAATCTCCTGAGATGTGAATGAAGCCGTTATGTGGGGGAAGGGTTAATTGTATGGGAAGCCTCGTATTCAAATACTTCTCGTATACAAAATATATGTTGTGCTAGAAAATATTCTATTGTCAATCCACATAGAATACAAACGAAAATGAGATAATTGGGAAGGTGCCCATAAAGTCAGCCTGAATATATTATCACAAGTATATGTGAGATAATATTTGTTTTAAAAAGATTGTATGGCACTGTAAACTCAGTCTCATTAGAGACTGCATTTAAAAGGCTTATAAAGTTACTCATTAATGTTATCTTGTTGTATCTCCACAGCTTTTTCATTAAAGAAAATTCAGCAGAAAGCATTTTCTCCTGATAGCAGGAACCAATTTGCAATAAATGTTCTGGAAACCACTAGGGAAGCCATTACTGAGGTCTAATAAAAACAGACAAGCGTAACTTGTTCTATATTTTTGTTTCAATCACATACAGATGAGACCCCGCTCTCCACACCAACCGCAAGAGACAGCCTTGAAAAACTTTCTCTAACCGGGCATGGGCAGCCACTACCTCCAGGTTTTCCATCTCCTTTTCTATTCCCTGATGGATTGTCCTCCATAGAGACCCTTCTGACTAACATCCAGGTAGGCCTTGCAGTAGATCAGCTTAAAGGGATGGAGACAAGCCAGTTGCAGATTTGTCTAAATTAAAACGACCATTCCAGCTTAATCAGTTCATAAGATTATTTGAATCAACTAATTTAGTGAAACTTTATAGTAATTTAGATTTCAAAGGAACCACAACAAACGAATGAATTTAGAAACTGTCAGATACAGTACATAAACATAGAAATTGTATAATAAACCACAGCAGAGAATTCAATGAAAGTGAAACTGGTGTGTTTAACATTTGTCTTAAATGCTGTTTTTATTACAGGCTAATGAAATGTTTCTCTGCTTAGTAAATGAGGTGAACTTAAACAGTAAGAAACATTTCTTACTGAAATGAGAAACTGAGAAACAGAGAAACATTTATTTCATAAATAGTCATTTTAAATTAAAGGTGTGATAAGGTGGAAATGATGCTTAAAGCTGTTTGAAATGTGTGTCTCATGAAAACATTCACAAAGATCATTTCTTTTAGAAACAAGCTCATTTCACTTAAAGTACTGTCTTCAAAGAAAAGACTTCAAAGGGTATTACCAAATTTTCTGCAGATTTCCTATTTGGTAGTCAGGATGTCTACAGTACAGCCTGATTCAAATATCATTCAAGGTATACACATCCATATAGATTGGAGCCATGATATTAGTCTTTTAGTTTAAAGAATGTTTCTGCTCACAAATTCAGTGATCAGGTGTTCTCCAGATGCAATTTCTGCAACAATATGATTATATGTTGCATGCAGAAGCAAAATAATAGTGCGGGAGGTACTGCAGCCATGTTTTACTCACTGAAGACATGCCTTGGCTCTGTAACTATTAATCTCTAGTATATTTTTCACAATATTTTTTTCTACTAGTTCCTGAAAATTAAATAAAATGAATTCATCAAAGACAAACAACAAAGTAGGGCCAAATTCTGCTCACTTTGCTTTTTTAAATTATATTAAAAAGGTTTATGGGATGTCAGGCTTGTTTACTGAAACATAAATGATCTACTCCTTATTGATGTTTCAAAATATAATAATGAAAAATACTGCTGTTTAAGAATTAATTGTTGTTATATTCAACTGATCTTATTTGTGCTAGCTTTCGATGGTTCTAAAATTTTGGATCTTAAATATTTAAATCAAAGAACATGGTACTACTGTAATAGTTAACATACCTCTAATAGATCCACCATGATCTGTAAAGAATATATTTTTTTTTCCGAAGGAAGAAATGGTTAGTAATGTTTCAGCTGTGCATGCATGTATAGGAGAGTTCTTAGTAATTTTTTTGACAAATGTGTGCGCTCAATGTCTCTAGACAGCAACCTAATGAGCAAAGCATTCAGCATCAACAGGTTAGCTAATCTTGTGATTGAATATGAGAGTGCAGCACTACTTCAGGATAAATGACCAGGATTAATTTGCCAAGAACGCATTCAGTTTTATTTTACAGAAAATGTGAATGTGAAATTCAGTCACTGAGTTTTACTTTTTTTTAAAAAAAACTAATCTTAGCCATGGTGAACTGCTAAAATAGAAGGCAACAGCATAAAGAAACCAAAGACTTCTTTATGCCTTTTATAATTGTGGTATTCTACTTACCACTTCTTACTTTGAAAATCGCCTATCAGGGTCAATAAGTGGAACATAAATCATAAATTCTATTGGATGTTTTCAGTATGTTGCCACGTCTCACTATATGGTTTCCACAGAACACTAGGAATCTTTTTACGTACAATCAAGACATCTTCCCCCTCTCTCTGCTCCCGAATGCTACATGTCTATCAATCAGGATTGCAGTAGATAATCATTTTAAAATAATTAAAAGTGTAATTAGATTAATTTTCCCAGCTTTGCAGAAAAAGCTACGCATTTGTTTTAAAACAACGGTCTATTAAACCTGTCCACAATAGTACCAGTTACTCTAATAAGTGCCATTTAAAAAACAGTTTCCATATTCATCATTAGTTTTACTGAAAGGGGGCTACTCCATTCTCACAACAGAGTTAGGTCCTTGGATATTGCTGCTTTCAGAACTAAGTTTTAAGAATCTGACTAGAAGTTCAGATTTCTTAACAGATTTTGTGGAAAAGGGAAATGCCGTGACAGAGCCCCTGCTCGCAGCATTATTTAGGACATTGTTAGGAAGTAACTGCTACCCAACACTTGTCATGCCTATCCTACATGAGCCTAGTCACTCTTGTCAATGTGTAAATTCATTTTTACTCTCCTTCTGTCCATTGGTATCATTACAAGAGCTGGATTCAAAGGAGAGGTGAACCAGTAACCGCCCTTCAGCATTCTGTTGCTTCAGCTTCACCAGCATTAAGGATAGAGGTTACCAGAAATGAAATTATCTTTTCATATATATATATATATATATAAAATCATCTGACCTCCTGTCCATCCCCCTACCTCTGCTACAAAAGTGCTTTTGAAACACAAGATGGTCTAGGGAAGTCTCTGCACAGTGGGAGCTCTGACTTTCGTCAGAGTCTGGAGGGCAACACCAGGCAACGGCACAATGCTTTCTGAGTGAGTAAAAACTGTGTAGACACTCTAGGTAACTGAAACCAAAAGGTATGAAAAGTCTTGCAGGTGCAGAAGTGTTTAGGCAATGACTGTCACTTGGCCTTGGTGCATAAATCCACCCACTTCTGTTTGAGAAAACTTGAGTCATCCTTTGAATTGGCCCCTGAGCACAACTAGTCTGTGTCTTCCGTATACGGCAGAATGCATACATACATGGTTATAATCTTTAAACCATAATTTTAGGCAAGTGTAGGGCAGGTCTATTTACTATGTCTTTTTTCAATATCTGCCAGTTTGGTTGATTTCCTTTTTAAAATCAAATATATATTATTTTCTTACTCCTCCATAAATATGCACTGAAACAAAAGTAAAAGGATTTCAATTATTTGTACCTTTGCAGAGGAGATAATAACTACACAGTATCCAGAACAACTGGGGTTTAATTCTGGCAGGGGATTGCTGAAAAGCAAATAAGAAAACGTAACAAAATATAATTAAATACACACGTAAAATAAATAAACCAGAGGACGTATTTTCATATTCAGATGTATATCTAAGCAACTAAATGGGATAGAAAATAAATTTCCCTGGGGAGTTAAATTAAGTGATATGTCTCTTCCTTCTCCATGTGCATTTGCTGATTTCTTCCAGATTAAATGCTGGGAGTCTATGTGCAGCTGCACGAAAGGAGATGGAAGGTGGGTCACGGCAAAATGCTGTGTGGGTGCTAGTGAGAAGGCTAAGAATGTTTCTGTCCCTCTCACAGAAGTTCACCTTTTTAGAGTCACAGCCCAATTATACCAAAGTATGTTATAGCCGTAGTCTTTTGTGATACTGCAATATTCTCAGTAATAGTAATGTTATTTTAAGGTTTTAGACTCTGAGTCTGAACTGTCCCTGAGCTGAACTTCCATTAATATCTAAGGGATGAATTACCTGCTCCCGGTAGCTATATTTTTCTATCAGGAAAATATTCTTTTCCATCATTCTACTGACATAACCTTGTTCCAAAGTACTCTTTAAAGAGGTATGTGAAGTTGCAATTGATTTTAGTAAAGGAAATGCATGATTATGAATTTAATTCCTCTAAGAAAAAAAAAGCAAACAACTGGCTTTATTGTAGTGCATCTCCTGCACTGTTACCATCCACGGCTAAACACGTAAGAGAAAAATATTGCAACATTGGATAATATTACTTGAATATATTTTCACCAGAAATATTAAATGCTACAGTTCTCTGCAAGTTCTCTGCAAGCTGGGAGGTTTGCTTGGGAAGGTTTCTCCACTTGCTCTCCCGCTCTTGCCTTTCTCCTTGCTCACCCCGTGTTGGCCACTGATGGCAGCAGGTCCTGGACTGCTGGAGACCTCCAGGCTAATTCACAGGGCCGTTCCTGTGTCATGTATAAGGACATATTGAGCTAAAGTGTATTACGTGGAACATGTCAGTGTAACCACATAGACAGAAAAGACTTCTAAGTACCTTTTGGATTGCTTTTCCCCTTTCAAAATAGGCAACATATTGTCCATATATATTTGTTTTAATAAAACTGAGATGAACCCTAATATATGCTTAAATTCTAAAGGATCAGCAGACTGCCCTAACAAGGTGGTATTTTGTGATACATGGGAGAGTTATAGTAGTCAGTGAGTAGGATGAAACATCAACCTGACATTTTTTTTTTTTTTGGGGGGGTGCATTTCTGAAGAATTTATCAGTGGAAAATATGAAAACAAGTACATTAAAATAAACAAATCATATCACAGTGGTCTACAAATCTCAAGGGGAGAAATGTCAACTTTTTACATTATGCTGAAATCAAGAAACTTTATTAACAGTGACATACAGGCAAAAAATGGCATGCCATGTGTAAAACCTGGCTCCAGATAGAGCCATACTGTATTGAAACCAAATCTGGAACCTGAGCATGTTCACTACAATTATCATTATCCAGCCTCTGTAACATCTGACCTTCCCCAAAGGGAAATATTTTCTTTTTGTTAATGTTGTGAGTTGTACTGCGCTTCCCATTGTCATTGGCAGCATATTGATTTAATATCAGGTTAGAGGATTAGCCATAGCAAATACGAGTTGGACATACTGTATTTTGTATAATCTTTACAGATGATCCACTGGGAGAATTAATAGAATTACATACAACTCTGAGATTGCTAGCCCTGTTCCAAAGGGCACTGATGATTGTTAGATGTTGTACTTTTTCGTTGATTTTCTCACTTGCTTCTGCACCGAATACACGGAGATACTGAATATTCCCAGTATTTTTGCATTAGAGTTGTCACTGGCAGCAACAGCACTTTTGCATATGCATCAGTTTGGCTCTAGTGCAGGTTTTTTTCACATTGGACGCCTACTGATGTGCACTGATTTAACTTCTAAAAATGAAACTTAATTTTGTGTAGCTTATAAGTAGTCCCTAGTGGATCTTGGCTCCAAAAAGCTAATATTTTTCAGACATAATCAGCAGCAATAGGTAATGTATTACCATTAGCTATGTTAGAAGCAAGTATAAAAAAGGAAAGGTTGAGGGAGGAAGCATGGTACAGAAATCCAATAGAAAATATAATATGCTTTTAGGAGCTTCGTATTTTGTAGTAATTCTTATTATAAAATTACACACATCGGTGTTGAACTGTAGCATTATTTGCCATGTTTATTCATAGTGATTGTTTCATATTTAAAGAACACCAAAATATTGTGTTTTGTCAGCCAAGGACAATAATAGTTTAATAGTAATTCATTTTAAACTGCTACTGATAATACAACCAATCAACACATTAAGTGGTGCCAACATTGGCATCTTGCTAAATAATCTCTAGGCTTTGCACTGAGAGTACATCTTTCAAAGATAAGTCAACAAGAGCAATCAGAGCAGAAAATTAGAATTTGGTATCTTAGAATTAAAATACAGCTAAACTAAAGTTTTAATTGGGGTGATCTAAAAGGGCACTTGATGTAATGATCTCTTTCATTTGTTACTAATTGTTTGTTCCTGATGAAGAAGAAACATGTATATGAATGTAGTTGAATTGAGTAAAGATGGCAGTTGCCTTAGCAGCTCGATTTTATTGTTAAACGAGATGGATTGTCAGAATTTGGGGGGAAGGAGTTTGCAGCTTTAAAATTATTTGACAATTTATTTTGCATAAAACCATGATTTTTCATATAGTTTTCTCACTTTAGCTGCATGAATCACATGTTCTAGTATGTGACACATTGGAGGAAATTGTAGTATTTTAAAGTTCAGGCATTTTGCATAAGCCAAAGTAAGTCAGGTATTGGTAAGCAATTCCTACAGATCAACTTTTTAGGAATCACTCAAGTTTAAAATTCAAGACAAAATACTTCTGTGTTTTAGATATTTTAGAACAACTTTCAGTTATTTATTGAAAGCCTGCTAGAATCATAAGTGTATTTGTAATCAAATTTGTTATGCAGAGGTTGATATTTTTGAATGCGATTCCATACTCATGAACATAAATATCATACTTATTGTGTATAGCATTTTAAGTCACCATCTAGGCCTTGCAGTCTGAGGTGTTGAGCTCTTTCAACTCCTGTGGAATTTAATGGTTTGGAGGGTAATAGACCTGCAAAGCAGTAAGCTCTGAATTAGGCAGCACTTCAGGCAGCAATTTAGTTAAGAATGAGAAAGAGGAATACTGAAAATAATAGGCTCTGAAAACAGCTAGACTTTTAAAAGGGCCTTGAAGGACACAAATTTCAAAGCGGGAATTGACATTGAGAAAACTAGGAGAAGAAATGTACAGAGTAACACTCATGAAAAATATATTTTTGTCTATTTTTCAAATATCGTGATGTTTAATGTATTTTTTTGTTCCTTTAAGGAATGCTTTAAAGAGTTCTAATGGAAAAAAAGTACACATGTGCAACCCAGAATCTGAGTTAGGAACCTTGCCTGAACTGAGAGGGAGCTCATTTGGGAGCTGGAGGACAAGATTTTAAGGCCTTCGTATGCTTATTTTAAAACAGGGTCTTGATCATGAACGTCTTACCTGTTAGCTGACTCCTCCCCTGGCATTGCCATTGAGGAATGTTTTTCTGTCTCTCTGTTCACGTTGTTTTGTTTTATATCAGTAATTAAATCTCCATTGGATCAAATTATCTCAACAGCTAAGTTGTCAGGAAACTTGCCTAGGATATAAAAGACTCAGGTTCCTATCCATGCTCCATACTTAATTACCTACCTATAGTATGATAGTTTCAATGAGAGATTTAGCTAAAATCTCAAGAGCCTGATATCCAGGCTGCCACTATAGGGGAAAGGAAATCTTTCCACTTTCCATATTCCTTTCTTTCCATGCCATTTCTTCTTGTTTGCATACCCTGTCTCAGTGTTGCTAGCTATTGGATGTGCTGAGATCCTTCTGTTCCCTCAACAAAAGAAGGAATTCTCAAAAAAAAAAAAAAAAAAAAAGAAAAAGAAAAACTTGATGGAAAAAAAAAAGTAAGATGAAGCTTTAGGTACTGATACAACAGCACCAAAGTTAATTTCACCAGTCCCAGGTGAAGAAAGATGATTGCAGAGGTTGCAGAGATGATTGCATTTCAGATAAATTCCTGCTCTGTGCACTCTGCTTGGCATCCTAGTAAAGAAATCTTACTATGAAATTATAGGGAATATTGTTTAAAAATAATAATAATTAACAAAAACAATGAGTAAAATGGCAAAGATTTAAAAGACCCCCACTTAAATAAATCCCTTTGCTAATTTCTATTGGCTTGGGTTGCAGTAGCAATTGAATTTGTCTTTCTATGGATGATAAACACTAAGAGTGCCAATACTTTTTCAGTGAGACTTTTTTTTTTACTTTGATCACAGACAAGTACCTAGTGTAAACTTGTGTCTTGCACTTTTATCTCTTGTAAATAATAAACCTATTTTTAAATCTGGTTTTATCTCTTTGCATAGTCAGTGGCCGCCTTGAGTCTTCTTTGGAGACCTTCTTTGGAAAAAAGGTCTCCGTGCCTTTTTACAAATTTTCTCCGTTTGCTGAAGTTCATTCCAGTAAGAAGTTGCTGATGATAACTGGCATGTTATAAACTGGTAGCAGGATTATTTGTGAAATACCATATGACTAATGAAGGAAAAAGCACCAGACATTGTTATTATGTCAGTTGTTCTGACATTTTTCAAAAATTACAATATCTAATTTTATCTTTAAACAGGGTCTACTAAAGGTTGCTATAGACAATGCCAGAGCTCAAGAGAAGCAGGTCCAACTGGAAAAGACAGAGCTGAAAATGGAGCTGTTCAGGGAACGAGAACTGAGAGAAACACTTGAAAAGCAGTTGGCTGTGGAGCAGAAGAACAGAGGTAACTTGCAGACACTTAAGCAGACATCGCATCTTTTTAATCTATTTACTTAGGAAGCCTCATTTTAGTCGAAGACCAGATTTTGATCAAAACTCTTCCTCTTATTTTATAGCCAGATCAACAACAATGCAGGAATTTATACAAACTGCCTAATTCCGTGTGCTACCTTCATGAGATTTAGAATGAGGACCTTCCGTCAGAAGCATGTTGACTTCTTGCTTTATGGTTCTACTTTTCTATGTGTGCATGTCGCCTTTTAGTAGTGTCTAATTACTTTCCAAGGGACAGTTAACCTTTGGGGTTCACTAGTTGTTTAACATAGACCTTGATAGGTGAGATAGATATTTCTGGAAAGCTAGAATTGCAATTATTTTCTTGCTCAGTCTAATTTTCTGTGAAACAGCTAAGTAAGGAATCCCCATGTATGCGCTCAAGCTGAGAACATTGGGATTCAATGCCTGTATCATTATAGCTTTGTCTAAACAATATTCTTTCAATAATTAAGTGATATATGTAATCCTATTTCATACTTTGACCCATTAAAAGTTATGACTGTCACACTGTTAATTTCCCTTTTTAAACTTAGGAGAATACATTATTAAAGGCAATTACTATTAATAATTATTGTAACTGTGCAATGAATCATTCCATTGTGCACAACTTGTCTATTTTGCTCAGTGTAATTGCACTACTTGCACTTTTAAAATAGTTCTCTAGCAGAGCTCACTTACTCCCCACGACATCATCTAATTCTCTGTCCCCCAACAACTCAATCATATCTTCCTTCTTAGACTGAGGCAACCATACACGCTGCAGAAAGGGTAGGAGTGGGGCCTCATTTGACCTTAGTTAAGTTGAACCACCTAGAAGTTAAGTTGAACCACCTAGAAGTTAAGAAGTTAAGCCAAGGATTTAAGTTCTCTTTCTAGTCAGTAAAGATAGATTCCTGCATCCTGTGCTCTGCCAGGTAAGTGAAATCAATTCCATTGTCAAAAATTATTTTTCTCCCTGCTAGCCCTGAAGGAAGCATAGTTGACTGGGCTGGACCAGACACATATGTTTTGAACAGCTAAAATTAGGCAAACGGAATTTCACTCAACCTTGTAAGTCAAGGAAGAGCTTTCTTTATGCAGGGTGCTGAAATAATTGCCAGGATTATTTTAAGCACTGTGCATTACCTGCTTTTTCACATGTGTTCCTCTAATGATGATATTGCGCTGGTGAAAGAGAGCAAAGAGGAATGGAATTGAGCACTTAATAGTGGTATGCAGTAAAGTAAATGTAATGAGGATGACTGTCTCTGCTAGCGGATACAAAAGAAAGAAAAATAATAGGTTGTTCTTTAAAATGGATAAAGCCAAATAAGAGAGAAAAAAATAAAGCCAGATTATGATTACATTGAGAATTCATTTTTTCAATTAAAGATAGAAAAATACATAGGAGGCTTTACCTATTATTAGTTTAGCAACTGTCATACTTTAAAGAATGTTCCACATGTGTTAATGCAACCACGCGCAAATTGAGAGGAGTGTACCAGAGCCTTATTAAGTTAAGAGCTTTTCTGAGGAAAAGTTGAAATACACTTAAATACTATGGCATATAGACATACAGGTCAAATCCCATTAGATGAAACCTCTTTTCCAGATCTCCAGCATCAGGCAGCCTATATCAATTTCTATCTGTTTATTGTCATCCTAAAACAAGTCAAATATCTTTTTCCTCGTGGCAGATCATCTGAATACTTTAGCCATTTCGGAGAATATTAAATTTGCTGCTGCTGCGGCATCTTCTACAGTGCTGCCTATTTACTGTACTGTTTCACTCTTGCTCTGTGTATATTCCAATTAGTGATTCCTAAGACTGTAGGATGTGTCTCATCAACTAGTGAAAGTAGGATAATATGTCTTCTGTGAGCAGCTACACAGTGAGGGCTTGCTAATTCTGGCTCTGACGGCTGTAGTCACATCTACGAAGTGTCAGCCATGATGACATTTTAATTCAGAAAGCAACATATGTTTCCTTCTCATTTATTGCAATCACTTTCAAAGTACTTACAATGAAAACATTAAAACCGTGCAATGATTCAAAATGTATTTAGTTTAGCCTTTGTACAGATGCATGTTCTTTCACAGTATAAGCTAGTAAATGTGCAAAATAGTTGGTAGCATGAAAATACAAGAAAGAGCCAAAATTCTAGTGTTTTGGATGTAAATGACAACTATTTTGACTACAGGGTATGTATTTATGTTCATTTTATGTTTGACTGCTCTCCATAGAAACACAAAATATCCGAGGTCACCCCCAAAGTGTTCATTCTTAGAATAGGCATTAAATAGTAACAATGGCGATGATTCACTTTACAAGTTTTGTTAGTGTTGTTTTATTTGGATTCTGTGAAGGATGCCACCATCGTGGTTTTGTTAACAGCAGTTCCTTTGCAGTTAGTCTCAGAACAAGCTCTCAAGAAGAGGGATCCAGGGACGACTTATGGAAAATATGCCCCCCCTAATTCTAGTGTGTGTGTGCATCCCTGAAAACACTGAACGGGCCTTGTAGGAAAGCCTGGGGTGCAATGGGGAAGAAAAAGCTGCTGTGAAGCTTCATGTGCTTTATTTTTAGAGGCTCAGCTTTGTTCTCATTGAAACGGGTTGTTCCTATTCCTTCCTTCTTTCCCCTTCGAGGGTATAACCTGTGAGTTGTCCCTTCAAGTAAGGAACAGGCAAGTTTTACTCCCATGGCTGCACGTTGGGAGAAACAGATAACATAAGGGGAAAAAAATGAAATAAAAGGAGTTGCTTTAGAAACGCCACTCACACGATGCCCTTTCGTGCCGGTCTTGGCGAGCCGGCGGCCGCTGGGCCCCGGCAGAGGCCGGGTCTCCCTCTTGTGGGAGCGGAGCGGCAGGCAGGCGAGCGCCAGCGCCGTGCAAACAGCGGCCTACACTGCGCTGAGCAAGGGAGGGATGCAGCAAAACTGGGATTCCTCCCAGAAACTCCCGACCTCTGGGACAGCAGCATCACAGGGGCACCCAAAGTCAAGCTAACGGACGCATCCAGGATCTTCTGGACCTCATCTCCATTGCTAAAAGACAAAAAAAAAATTTCTACAGCTGAGTATTCAGTTTTCAATAGCACTATATAGTGCAGAAACTGTTAAAAATCACCCCATAGTGATTGCAGCAAATAGAAAATGTTTTAAATCAGTGTTGTAGAATTAAGCCATTTATAGGAACTGAGACAGCTCTGTCCCTTTCTGAGAAGTCTTGATAGTGAATTGTGTAACTGCGTTTCAAGCCCAAATGTGAACACACTGATTTTATTTTTATTTTTTTCCCTCAGCAATAATTCAGAAAAGGTTAAAGAAGGAAAAGAAGGCAAAGAGGAAATTGCAGGAAGCACTTGAATTTGAGACTAAGCGACGGGAGCAAGCAGAGCAGACGCTGAAACAGGCAGCTTCAACAGATAGTCTCAGGGTCCTAAATGGTAAGAAGTCAGTTTTTTGCCTCTGTGTCATTAACTTTTCATTTCAGTGCCAAAAGCAGTTTACAATATTGATAATTTATAACATGATGGGGCGGGGAGGTGGGGAGAGAGAGGGGACGACATAGTCTCTTTTCTGTCTTTGTTTTTCTGTAACTCTGTATACATCATGTGCAAATAAATTAACTACAATGTCCAAACTAGTACAATTTTATATTATTAGCTTGAGAAGTCAATTTTTTTTTCTCTTCTCCCCCCACCCCCCCGCCCCTTTTAAGTCTGAAAAATCTATTGCTCATTAATCTTCCCAGTCTAACAAAAAAAAATTGCGCTGGCCTCCAGTCATTGTTCAACATTAAAAAAACTGACAGAGGTTGATTGTATTGTAATTCAGCATTGGAGTAACAGGTTGTAAAAAGGGCTATAAGAATCAAATGAAATATGTGTCAGTCTTACCTTTCTGTGCTTCTAGACTCTCTGACCCCAGAGATAGAAGCTGACCGCAGCGGGGGCAGAACAGATGCTGAAAGGACAATACAAGGTAGGAATTTGCAAAAGGCTATAAATCTAGATCTTGCTATATGAGTTTTTCCTCAGCTTTAGACTGCTATTCAAGCATGTAGCCTACCATCTGGGCCACATCAAAACAAGTTCAAACAAGGTCAAGTTCATCTTGCTTGTTTATAAGAGAGAATACATTCTGTGCTGATAGATTTTCTTTAAATTAATAGGTCATTTCTGTTTATGCAAAGCAATTAAAGAAGAATAATTAATTTGAAGCAATGCTGGGTTGAATCTTAAACATGTTGAATGTAGTTTTTGCAAATATGTGCAGTTAGATTTAGAGTAAGTGTTTTTAAAGTTATATTTAAAACATTTTGAGACTTTTTACTATATAAACAGCTAGACCTAATGGATAACAGTCAAGGCCTGATGAGAACTCCCTAGCTAATATTCAGTGGCAGTTATTGAAAAGTATGCTTCAGGAGGTTACTTTAAACAGGAACAATAAATAAACTGTTTATTCCCTTCTTGGATTTTCATTTACCAAATGTTCTATATCCCATTATTTACATTTTAATAAAACAAATCTGCTGAGTAAATTTATACATGAAATACTAAAGAGAGTCATATTACTTCCCCCGTGAATCTAAATATATATATATTGCAAACACTGAAATAATAGTAAAGAACAAATTTTAAGATAGCATTTATGTTATAATATCTTCTCCAGTCAACAAGCTAAATCTACCTACATGAATACTAAACAGCAAAAATATCATTTGTTTTCAATTGTAAATGAAGGGACAATTTTCAAAGGCAAGCTTAAAATGATTAGCTCCAGTAATCACTCTCAATTGCCTTTATTTTGCATTTTGAAGTCAATCATCTTAACGGTATCATTTGACATCTTCTGTATGTTATTTAATCACTTTTTCTAACTCCTAAAGAGTGCCGCAAGGAGGCTATAACAACAAAATAAAAAAATGAGTTTTTAATATATTGAGCATACAAGACAAATTCCTTGTATAAGAGAAGCACACATGTATATACACACAAGCATACTTAATGCAAGTTATTTCTGCAAAGTCAATAACTCAGAAGATAGGTTATGCCAGATTAAAAGTTGCCTGTGAAGTGGGTGTGTGTCATGATGTGTTTTTTTGTTCCAGAATCATGTTTTTCTCCTATGTGTGTCTTATTCAAAGCACCGTTTGGTGGAATTCATATAGTCAGAATCCAGTCATTATGTTATTTTGTTGTGATTTTTTGCTATCCCATGCCTTTTTTTTTTCTTACGAAAACACTGGTGAGAAAAGAGACTTCTAATTTCATTGGAAGCCTTCCTATTACACTAGTTACTGCAGTATCTCAGCTCTTTGTAAAGATTAATTAATCGCTTCAGAACATTCATACAGCAAAGTCAAGTTTGGAGCAGTTCTGTTGATGAGAAACTGAGTCACAGAAAGATTAAGGGGATATGTTGTTTAACTTTTAAGTAATCAGGACCATTTCCTACTTCAGATTACTTTGTTTTTAGCACGTACGTATTCAGATCACCGTTCCTGTTGAATTCAATTTCAACTGTGAGCTGAGATGCCAAGATGGATATTCATAATATCATCAGCAAATAATTACTAAGTATTTTTAAAGCACATATTTTAAATAACCCAATCCCATGTTACATGGGAACAACATTTAGGTTTCTTAACCATGATTATTCTTTTTTTTCTAACTATCTTCTGAAACTTATGCTCATTTTAGATATTACGGTTTCTGCAACAAATGAAATCAAGGTCTTACAGGCAACATTATCATTAATAATGAATTTTCCCTTATTCATCTGTCCAAGGAAATGCAAGGAAAAGCAAACAAGCAAACGGACAAACATATTTTTTTAATTAAAGACTATACAATAATATATGTTGATCATGATACTGGATCACATTGCAAAGGCAACCTTAATTCTGACATTTTCTGTCTCTACTTTGCAGTCTTAACATACAATTAAAACAGATTTTAGGGAGGAGAAAAAGAAGGAAGAAAAATAGAAGCTTCTTAGTTTAATATAATCAGTTTAACCATTGCGTAAAGCAACTTGTAACTTTTATATCTACCACATAAAACTGTGTAGCCTGCATGAAACAAATGCTACGGAACAAATACAACAGTAGAAGGTTGTTGCCTTTGTGGATCAGCCATATTGAAGGGGACGGGTTTCAGAAATAGCTATTAACCAAAGAGCAATGCCAAGTGCCAGGTTGCTTCCACGCCTGGAGGTTCCCCAAGAGCTCCCTTTCCTTCATGCGTCCCTGCCACTGTCCCGTTAGTGTGCGTTCCTGCTACTGCTGTGTCTCTCTGTGATGATTGCTCTTAGGTGAGTTTTCCTTGCTTCAGTTCCAGTTTTTGTCAACACCCACTCTCAATCTCTTCTCTGTCTTCATTTTTTTTTCCTCCTAACCTCGTAATTCCTAGATGCCCATTCCTCAAGCCCTCCTTCTGGCCTCAGTTTCATGCCACCCTGGCTGTTTCCTCAACTACCAACAATTCCCGGTGTCCCAGCCACCATCTCTGTCTGACACTTGCTGCCGCTTGTCCACCAGTTTGGGAGCCCACACGCCGTTGACATCCCCCTTATCCACCTTTCCCACCTTTTCTGGTTGGTGTCGCGTCGCAGTCTGTCTCCTGCAGTCTCCCCAGTGGAACTGAGCTCACGTCACTCCTGCTTTTGGTGCACGTTCTGGTCCGTCCTCTGCACTGGCCCATGTACCCGGAAAGGGAGGCCTGAGAGAAAAGCAAAGATAATTCCCCGTATTCTTACTTCAGTGCTCAAAGCAGATATGGCTTGCAGAAATGAGGAGAGACAGTTGCAGAGGAAGAAATGCTTATTCCAGGAGCCCTAGAATAAAATATGCTCAGTACAGATCAATTCATTAATGAGTTTAGCAGACAAATTATATTCAATGGCCGAGACTGGGATTTTTCCCAACTTTTTTTCAGTTTTCACAGGGACAACAAAGGTCACATCCCTCCATTTTGTTCAGAGTTCAATTATGTACTTAGATTGTTTTTCAGTATCTGTAAATGAAATGTTATATGCTGTAATGTAGAAGAATTATTCCGTAGAGTACAGTATATGTTCTATAAAATAGAATTTAATGCCATATTTCTCATATTTTTTTTTCCTAGAAGACATATTTACTAGGGAAATACTTAGGAATTTGTTATTCCCCTCAAAAGTTTATCTATGATCTTATCTATTTGCATCAGTATATAAAAGTATTGCTGTGCTAGTAGTGTCTTTAACCACAATCATTAAATTTCCTGAATTGAATATGCTATGCAGTTCTATAAGTAAGCAGATAAATGTAGGAAAGTTTCAGTATTCTGTGGGGAAGTGAAATAATTGAACAGGCAATTATAACTTTAGTATTTAATAAGATATTATGCGAGGAAATAATGATTAAAAGTAAGGATTTTATATATATATTATAAATAAAAAAGATTCCTATTTACTTGAAATTATATGTTATGCTGATATTTTAAGTATCAATTTCGTGAGTAAGGAATGGGACTAATTTAAGTTTAAAAGATAATTACATTTGTCAATAAGTGGAATATGTTTTACTCTTTTTTTGTGTGATATAGCACTCATTCAAAGTCACATTTTAGTTTATGTAAAGTCTATTTTAAAATGAGAAAGATATATTAAAAAGGAATTTGAATATGCAAATATAAAAAGAAGTGATAAAGGATATTTTAGTTTTTTATATAATACAGAGTAAATAACAGTTTACTGAATTATCCGTAAAAATGCTAACAAGTAATCATAATAAAAAATCCAAATATGGGACTCGAACTTACATATATTTTAGCAGATGCAGTAGTTGCTAAGTTATTATTGGGAACTGGTGTAGACACTAGTTTAAAATGTTTTCTTTCTTGCTTCTGTTTAAAATAACAATAAAGCAGATTATCCTCTTCTCCATACATATTGTAGGTTCACTAGATGCCTATGCCTAGCTCCCAACCCGGTTTCCCAAGACCCCCTCATCCCACACAAAAAGGTACCATATGAGAATGTTTGACTTTTACTGTTTTGTTATCAAACCTCTTATTAAGCATTAGAACAATGACATTTACTGGTGCTCTTATTTTCTGCCTTTTTTTCTTCCCCCCATTGACTGCTGCTTCTCCATTTGCTTACTTATCATATATGTCTGCCTATATTATTAGCTTTTCTTTTCCTCTGTAATTCTCACATTCCTAATGTGCTGTCTCCTTACAGTTTTCCCTTGTAAATCCTGTAGATGCAAAATCTTCATTCCATTTAATCACTGCTTCCTTTACTAAACTCACTACAAATTTTCTGCTTTTACATTGTCTTCCCTGTTGACCAATCTTTTCACATGATGCCTCTCTCATCTTTCTTTTCCCAACCTGTTTTTTCTTTTTTTTTTTTTCTTTTTTTTTTACTTTTTTCTCAATGCTATCCTTATGAGAACAGGAAACTTAACCAAATTATCTGTCTTTCAGGCTGTTCTTTTGCTTATCTGGTCCATTTCTTTCTTATTTTCTTATTTTCTAGCAACAGTCTGTCTCTTTTTTGCTTACTTTCAGCTCATTTCCAACTTCCACATCCCATTGTTTCAGTTTCTCCTAAATCAGCTCCACCACTCTTCTCCGCTAACAATTTTTTTTCTTCTCAACCTGTCCAGTTTGAGCTGAGTTCTCAGGCCTTTCCTTAAATTCTGAGTATATGTTTCAAGAGAGAATTTGCCCTTTGCCCATTCTGAAATTTTCCTTGTCCCTCTCCACTCTCTCCATCAATATTCCCCTCCTAGGTATTCTTCTCTAGCCCAGTATTTATTCTCTTTGACCAACAATCAGAATTTTGTATCTCTGGTCTTTTTTCTGCTACAAATATATATATATATATATATATTATTCTAACAGATTATCAGCCTTTCTCCATATGAATCTGTCAGTTGTTTACTATCCTTATACATTGACAGAATTCATTATGCTTTCTAAGTCATTTCTCCATATCTAGGACTAGGCCTTTATCCTCGTTTTTCTAGACCAATTAGGCCAGCCAGGCCTTTATCCTAGTTTTCCACCTTGGCTGTAGACTTATTAACAGCACAAATACTTGTAATGCTAAATGGCTTCAAACTATTCTTTTTGGATATAAGAAAAAGAGGCACTCTGCTATCTGCAGGATTACCTGTCATACTCACAGACTCTCTCAGGCTTCTTTTACCTTAACAACAAGCAAGCTAAGGGTTGGTTTTCCACCCAGAAAGGCTCAATCAGGAAATAGACTTGTTGAACTGTTCAAGAAATCCCGAACAAAAGCAATTGCAACTTTGTGCACTGCCTGTGTTGTCTCATATGACTACTTCTATTAAAGCCTTTGAGGGCTATGGAGAAAGAGTGAGAAAGAAATTATGATTTAACCTTGCCTTTACTTTATGTGTGCTTTTTGCTTTGGAGGTACTAAGCAAAAGCTGCCCCACAGCTGCCCTCCACATAAATAAGAATTTCTTAGACGTATCTTCAATCATTTGTCTGAAAACGTAACCTAAATTGTTTTCCGCCTTGATTTGTAGCTCGTTTCATCTATTTTTCAACAAGTAAAGTCAGTGTAATAACCTCAGCAAATGATAGTCTTTGAGTCTTTCTGACTATATTTGTGTTTGAAAGATACCTATCTTAGGAAGTTACACACTGAAAGGGCGCTTTTAGTGGTTCTGCAAAGGCCTTTGCATACAGTTTTGTTTCTGGTGTAAAAATCTTGGACAAAAGCATGTCTAAATGTGTGACAATATTTTTTATGAGATCAAAAAGTTTATTGGAAAAGGCTGTTATCAAGGCTTTAAAGTCAAGCATTCCAAAGTTAGGAAATGGTAGAATTAAGGTTGTCTTCCTTACCTTTGTTCAACCTTCTTTGTGTACACATCATGATATAATCTTTAATTATATGATTAGATACAGTATTTTTCACAGTACCCTGCCTCATTCAATTCAAGGGCTGAGGGCAGAGTTGAATTAATGGATATCTATCCAATATTTCCTTTATCTTCAGTGCTCAGTGTGTGTTCTCATGTTCTGTATAATACCTGCTTCATGTATAATACTTCCATCATTAGACAGCACGGTGTACAGAAAAGGCGCGAATCATTATCTCAATTTCTTTCATATGTTAAATCTTAATTTTGGCATTTCCTAATAGTGGAGTGTTTAGCTTAACAATTTTAGAACTGCCCTGGGGTTATAGGTGACCTTTTTCTAGGGTATTTCTTTGAAACAGTAAACTAAACAATCTAAAATTTCACCATAAGGTGACAAGAGACAACTTATGAATCAAGTTCAACTTGAATCTTAGATTCACTGTGATAAAACATAGTACCTGATGAATGGCAGTGCATTATTATGAGATGCATGATTAAAGGTACGGCCATTCTGTCATTTGACTTTTAAAAATATTTGTTATATAAAAGACAATCTTGGGTTACATTTTGTGCTCTTAGACATATAAACTTCTTTTCATTTTTTCCTTGCAAACTGTATGAATTTTAACAATGTCACCATCAAGCTGTCTTTCTTACGCTTTTGCCTTTCTCACCTCTGGCTTTTGTGTCAGTCTCAATACTCATTTCCAAGTCCTACGATCTCTTTTCTTCTCTTTTTTTTTTTTTTTTTTTTTTTGTGTGTGTGTCTTGTACAGATCAGGCTTTTTAATGCACATTTCTATTCATATCTGTTCATAATTCCAACCTCTCAACTCAACTTCTTGCACCTAATATCCTTGTTAAGCAAGTTTCAAATGTCTCCATAGTACAATAGCCATTTGCCACAAATCCTGCTACTTGTCATGATTTCCTCTTCCAAGAGATTTTTTATTCAGAGAGCTTTATATGACTTTATTGCCGTATGTATGTCCTCTCCTCTGTTTTTTACTCTCTTCTCAAGCACTGTCTCCTTTTCTTGTCTAGTCAGTCCAAATCATTTGGTCACTCAGCTTTAGTCACAATTTTGGCAGCCAACTATTTCTTGTTACAAGCTCCTTCTCATGAGCTTTCCAGTACCCTTTTTTTCCAATATCTTTTTTTATCTGTTTGTCCATTCAGTTCTTGTCATTTCCTCAAGTCCCATTTTCTCTCTTTACTTCCAAGTTCAGCTGCATCAAGCTTCTTTTAATTTCTTTCAATCTGCAGTTTTACATGTGCTTATGTTTGTAAACTTAGAAAAAAATATATTGTGATAGGTAAGGACACGTTTTCTAGTGCAAGACTACTCTCAAATTAACTAATGTTTTTTAAAAACTAGATTTCAATCTCCTCAAATGATAGGGCATCTGTTTCTTTTCTGATGAGAATAGTTCTCTCTGCAGCATGTTTAACTGAAATGCCTTTACTTTAAATGTCTTCCCTCTGTTTATTTAGCCTATGATACTGCCTGTGGTGACCAGAATCCAGTCTATTTCTGCTTATCCTCTAACTGTCCCTCCAATTGGGACGCAATGATTAGTCCCTCCAATCATTGTATCTTTTTTCCAGGTCTTCTTCCTTCTGTCTTTGCATTTCTGTCTGTTCCACTCAGTATTACTCCTCCTCTTATAAATCAAAAGAAATTTCATTTGCTCCTATAGTTTCTCAACGACAAGGTCATCCATCTGTACAGTGTAAACCAATGGTCATATATTTGCTTCTGTATAAATTAATTAAATTCAGGAAAAGAAAAGCATCTGACCCTTAATACGTTTTACCAAGTGTGTTCCTTCTATTTTCTCTTACTAAGATGTCTTAGAAATATTAAATATATGTCTCAACTAAATCACATGTACATTCCTCATTTTGATTCAATTGATGCATCAGCTATTCCATTCTTTTTGCTACTTTATAAGTACTATGGGTTTGTTGTTATTAATTTATTATTGCATGAGACTTCCAGCAGAAAGGGGCTTGGGGTTACTGTAAAGCCAGGACCTACGATGGTTGATTGGGTCATTTTGAGAATGAAAATGCATGTTCACTTTCCTATCTTATATTCCTGATTCTCCTCCAACCCGTTCCAGCACTGTTTCAGCTTCTGTCATATGGTTGCACTCCCATTTTCCTCTCAATCAATGCCCCTCCCCACCACCACCATTAGAAATTATTTCTGAATATGCCAAACCCTTTACATTACACGACTTGCCCAACCTGCTGACAGGGCATGAGGCAGTGTGCATGCATGGTCTGGAGGTGTCTGCTGGCTGGCCAGGTGGCTGGCTGGGAGATACACGCATTCCAAGGGATCCATGACAAGCTAGGAGATAAGCATTTTCTGCTGGACATCTTGTTGCTGCTTCTTGGCAGCTGGACAAATCAAACAGTACATGATGCTTCTCAGCAGCTGATGGGCCAAACAAATGGTTTTTCAAGCTGCAAGAGACCCACGGCCCACCTGTTGTGCAGGCCTGCTATAAAGGCTGGACATTTCAGCAGGGAAACGAGTCAGGAGCTGGAAACAAAGCTGTCAGAAGCCTGGAAGGCAAAGAGATTTTTTTTTTCTAGATATGTTGAATAACTGCCCAAGGAAACATCTGCTACTTAGCTAGGCTGCTTATGGAAATAAACAGCTGACTATTGTAGACCTACACTTGTATAAAAAGATGTTCTTAAGCAGCACTGACAAAACAGTGGGCTTCTTTTTTTCTGGCATTGAACTTCACTCTAAAGTTCTTTGAGTTTGGGGCTATTCAGCCTACTTTTCTGTTAGGCCAGATTTAAAACAAAACTTAAAACAAGTTATTTAAAACAATAACTTCCAATTATTTTGTCAAGGACAAGAGCCCAGAGGCAGGGTTTTCAGTAATTCATCAATGAGTAAGAAGGTCTGTCTGTATTTATAAAGTATCATGTCTTGTGAGAATGTGGCTTTCAGCAATGAGACCATCACATCTGTGGTGGTGGTGGTGGTGCTTTTTTGTTTTGTTTTCCAACTGATTACCGGGTTTCCTACTTAAGTTTGCCATTTTTAAGATTTCTGAAGTTCAATAAGACAACCGGTTTCAGTGTCT